TCTGCTCTTTGCAGATGATGTGGTCCTGTTGCCGTCATTGTGCCGTAATCTTCAGCTCTCATTGGAGCAGTTCGCAGCCGAGTGTGAAGCGGCTGGGATGAGAATCAACACCTCCAAATCTGAGGCCATGGTCCTCAACCGGAAAAGGGTGGATTGCTCCCTTCAGGTCGAGGGTGAGGTTCTGCCTCAAGTGGAGGAGTTCAAGTATCTCGGGGTTTTGTTCACGAGTGAGGGAAGAATGGAACATGAGATTGCCAGACAGATTTGTGCAGCATCTGCAGTATTGCGGACTCTGTACCCATCCGTTGTGGTGAAGAGGGAGATGAGCAATAAGGCAAACTCTCTGTTTACCAGTCGGTCTACGTTCCTACCCTCACCTATGATCATGAGCTCTGGGTAGTGACCAAAAGAATGAGATTGCAGAAACAGGCGGTTGAAATTAGTTTTCTCCGCAGGGTAGCTGGACTCTCCCTTAGGGATAGGGTGAGAAGTTCAGTTATCCGGGAGAGATTCGGAGTAGAATCGTTACTCCTCCACGTCGAGAGGAGCCAGTTGAGGTGGTTCAGGCATATGGTAAGGATGCCCCATGGACGCCTCTCTAGAGAGGTGCTTCAGGCATGTCCAACTGGGAGGAGACCCCGGGGAAGATCCTGGGAACGCCATGGAATCCTCCCAGAAGAGCTGGATGAGGTGACTGTGGAAAGAGATGTCTGGGCCTCGCTGCTCAAGCTGCTGTCCGTGCAACCCGACTTTGGAATAAGCAGAAGATAATGGATGGATGGGTGGATGGAAAACAAACTTACTTTATGACAATAACTGCTGGATGTCCTGCCCCTGAGCTCTGGGCTTTCGGTAAGTGTGGCCCCTGAGTAATTTAGTTGAACTGCCCTGCTAGGGAAGCTCTCAGGGAACCACCTCAACTGACTCCTGTCGATGCAGAGAAGCAGTGACTCTTCCTCCCAGATGATGGAGAGCCTGACCCTTCCTCTAAACCTGAGTTTCAACACCCTTCTGAAGAATCTGTGTTCAGCTGCTTGTATTCAGGACTTTGTTCTTTTGGTCATGATCAAAATCATAAGACCACAGGTGAGAGTTGAAACTCGTCACATTTTGATTCAGCTCCTTCTTCACCACCACCGACTGGAGCAACACCCTCATCACTGCAGATGAAGCTCAATCTTTTAGTCCTCTGGTCTAATCCTGATGTCTCTTGTTAACAAAACTCTAAGATACTTGGACTCCTCCACTTGATGCAGAGTGCTCACTTTGAACCAGACGAAACAGTCCACCTTCTTCAGGAACAAATTTTTTATTATCTTGTCATACTTTTGCTTCAGCAACACTTCTACTGCCAGACTTTTAAAGAAGTTCTGTTATGATGCTGTCATCATAATAAAAAAATAAAAAATAAAAAATTGAATTGGTCTTTTACTACCTAGTGAGATTTGAATTAAAAGACGATTTAAAAAGCCCAAGCTGCAGGGGAATCATTAAATGAGGGGCTTTTTTCACTTTAGTTCATAAAACAAGAAGAAGCAAAGATCTTTTCAACCATTTTAAATCACACTGAGAGTGAAGACACTACTAAAGTCAGGTTTTTTTTTTTACATGGAGTAAAATGCTTTTACATTAGCACTCACTCAGAAAGCAATAAAAGCAGAAATTTGTTAGACTTAACTGCGCAAGGATGCACATTGATGGTTAGAAATGGGGATGTAGGACCTTTAAAAGGTGGAGCCACCAGTTAATTTACCCATCATGAAACAAAATGACACCATCTAAAATCAAATGAACCATAAAACTCTGAAGCTTATAGCCATACCTCTTTAGGACTGGGCTGGTCCCCATAAGGACAACTGGCAAGAACAGTGATTATTCCAGAAAAGGTCATAATGTGGTGACAAGAAATACCCCCACCCCCACTCACACACCTAAATGGCATCCTCATTAAGATGCTGCTTGGATTTGCATACACAGACAAAAATTATTTCAGTCCTGTGATTACCTCTGTTTTGTACCTACACTCAGATGCCTATGAAATGTGCACGAGTATCGCCTTAAATGAGACAGATTGAAAAGGGTCAAGCACACATTGAGATTAGTACAGAAGCCAAGACCAGGCAGAACATCTATTAATAATTATTACCAACTACTAAAAGGCAAACGGGTGATGATATTTTTGCTTCTGTTTGTGTGTGTGTGTCTTTGTATTTGTTACCTTGTAAGACCCTTTTTATCAGCTTATACTACATTGCGAGGACTGCCCTTAAGGGGCCCAAAGCCCAGGCCCCATAGGGACCCTTTGTCATTTTATATGGTTTTTATACTGTATGATTGTCTATTGTCGTTTGCACCTCATCTGTTTCTTTGTTTAAAACAGGTCTCTCTTGTAAATGAGTCCTCGTGGCTCAATGAGACTAACCTGTAACAATAAAGGTTGAATGGATGAAAAATAAGAAGTGCTGGAGGTGGGTTAGGCGTTAAGTTTAGGACTAAGGTATGAAATAAGGAGGGGTTAAGTTTAGGGTTAGGTATGTACTGGTAATGGTTAGGTATGTACTGGTAATAGTTAGGTTTAGGGTGAGGGTCAGGGTTAGGCTATAGAAATGAATGCTAGTCAATTCAAAGTCCTCATAAAGATAGCAAGAGAAACTGTGTGTGTGTGTGTGTGTGTGTGTGTGTGTGTGTGTGTGTTGTATGTGTGTGTGTGTGTGTGTTGTATGTGTGTGTGTGTGTGTTGGGGGGGGGGGGGGGGGGGGGGGGGGCACCAGTTGGATTTTCAAGGATTCAAGGTTCTTTGTCGTTCACACCACATGTGGCACATGATGGAACAAAATTGTGTACATAGTGTCCCAGTTACATACAACAAAAGTATTAAAATGTAAGAGAAAAACAGTAATACGATCTAAGATATTCATATCTTAGATATCTTAGATAACAATTTTCTTAGTTCATGAACTAAGAAAAACTTTAACTTAAAATACACCAAGCACTAGTAGCATAAACACAATACACCAAAACACAGCACAAACATGTGTGAGCAGATGAGCATGAACGAACACAGCAACATGAAACAGATCAGCAGCAACATGAAACAGATCAGCAGCAACATGAAACAGATCAGCAGCAACATGATGTGATTTTTCACAATGATTATTCTGGTTAGATATTCATGATAACAGCCTCAGGGTAGAAGCTGTTCTTCAGTCTAGTGGTTCTACACTTAATGCTCTTTAACCTCCTTCCTGAGGGGAGTGGGGCAAAAAGTGTGTGTGCTGGGTGAGCGGGGTCCTTCACGATGCAAGTGGTCCTCTTCCTGCATCTGGAGGTGTAGATGCCTGTGATGGTGGGCAGGCTGACTCCAACAGACTTCTGTGCAGGATTTTAATGAGGCTGGAAGTTGTCAGTGGCTGAGCACCAAAAACTGGTTAACTTTTAGAGGTAACTCAATTCCAGATGGCTGACAGAGCTAATCAACATTAATCAATACAAAAATTAAACTGCAACTTAGATATTGAGCTAAATATTTGTGTGCAGATTCATTTTCAGGACATAATCCAAGTGCAAAATGATCTCACAAGATCTTACAAGACTCTGGTATGAAAGATGGAGGGTTATATGTGTTCCTTCAAAGAACACAAGGAGTTTGATTTTGATGTTATTTTTAAAGAGTGAAACGGGACTCTATAAAGACAGAGACATTTGTTTTAAGAAAAACAAGTTATACTTTTTTAAACAGCATAATATCTTGGATCAGTTGTTTGATGTCTGATCGAGATCTTACTCCTCGTTTTGTTTAACTGTGATTTCCACTTTATTTCTGGTTTTAACAATCAAAAACTTCTGATTATATTTCCTTTTCTCTTTAGAAAATATGTCAAAACAATTAACTTATTGTCTTAAGGAAGTGTAAAAATAAAATTCCAAGAATGTCTTCTCTCATTTTCTGTAACACTTATTTTTTTTAATAATATTGCCAAACAAATGATTAAATTCTGACATAGTTACCTCAACAAATCACTCTATTTTTTTAATTTATTACTCACTCGACACTTTTAAATGCACAATACGTAATGTTGGTTAAAAAAAGAAGAAGTACAGTGTCATTTATGAAAGTAGAAAATCTTTTAAACAATAAAAGTGACAGTGAAGAGTTTTCATAATGTGACAATTGTCTTGATCGGTACATAAACAAACAAAAAACACATCAAACACAACATATAATCATTATGTTGTCAGGTTTAATTTGTCATTTTGGAAAGCATCTGTTTAGTTTAGGTTTTAATCATAAAGGAAGACTTTAGAATGAGCAAAAACATGAAGCAAAGAATAGTTCAAAGTCATCTAAACACAAAAACATATTTTTAAAATTAGGAATGCCACAAAGGCCAAGAGGAGGATTTATCAAATATTGCTTGCAGTGACCGTAAAGTCATGTGTGCCAAATCACTGCAACCATCTGAAGGTCACTGCAACAAATTCCAGGTGACATTTTAATAAGAGCTTAAAATTTCTTCTTGAAGAATGCGGAAAAACAAACGTCATTGCAGAACAGCATGATTTTATCATTTTTAATAACCTCAAACCCGATTTCTCATCGACTTCTTGTTTTTGTCGGAACTTTTCGTCACACGTCGTGTTTCCTGGGAAATGTCTGCATCATCTTCCTCTTTTAAACCATCTTGTTCTGCATAAACATAGAAAAATGCGTTGTATTAAAATGTAAAAAGGTCAAATATTTTTATTCGACTCATTTTGTAACATATTAAAGCTGAACTTTAACTGGAGTCTGAGTTTAAAGCAGCAGATCACATGTGCCAGATTCTGTTCCCAGTGCAAATCTTAAGAACTCGAGTCCACATGTTCATTTCCTTCCTGCTTTTTCTAAAAGGAACTGAAAGCTTTTGTATGAAGCTGCTCAATCTGACCTGGAGTGTGTGTGGAGGAACGAAATCACAATATCCTGTCTTCAAAACATGTTTATACGATATCCTACACACATGCGAGGTCTTTCGTTTTTGTTCCTTCTGATCCTGATCCAAGGTAAGTCAATATTTTGGGCTGTTTTTGGTTTCTCCTGAGCGTCGTGTTGATGTATATGTGGGTCTGTAGGGGTGTGTGTGTGTTTAGTCTCATCATTTCCATCCTTTCACAGCATCTTCCTGCACCACCAGGGTCATCGGTCTGATTGGGCAGAATGTTACCTTGCCCTGCACGTATGACGCTCCGACTAAAGGAGGCACAAGTTTCTGCTGGGGACACGGGAAGGTGCCCTTGTTTAAATGCTCCAACACAGTCCTCTCATCCCAGGACGGGGGGGTTGATTTCAGGAGGTCCCCCAGGTACCAGCTGCTGGGGCGGGTCACAGCGGGCGAGTTTTCCCTGACCATCCTCAACGCTCAGAGGAGTGATGCCGGTGTGTACGGCTGCAGGGTGGAGATTTCTGGCTTGTTCAACGACCAGAAGGTCAACACAGAGCTGATTATAGCAGAAGGTAATAATCAAACTATAAAACATGGAGTCTGTCATGTTTTCTGAAATTAATTAATTAAACGGTTTGATTTGACTTTCCCAGCTGCTGTTACCAAGAACCGCACGACTGCTGATGCAACAACAAAAGGTAAGCATCATGTCCAAATTCACGTTTTCTGTTTGGTTTTGCTGTTTGTTTGTATTCTAGTTTTAACTTTGGGTTTTAAACAGAAGTTTCATTTAAAATACATGCATGAAACATACATGTATTTTAGATGTAACGTGTAAGACTAAACTGTTTTGGTGAATAGAAGCAACTCTCAAACTGAACTCCTCACAGAAACACTAACAACGCTGGCGCCGAAACACTTGGAGGTCAGAGGCTCAGCAGTGGAGAAAAGTCAAACAGAGGAGGTAAGTTGACGAGTTTTCAAACAAACAAACAAATAAACAAATACAAACAAAGAAAATATGATCTTGAATGATTCTGAAACTGGTAATCCCTGAGTGAGCATCTACAACTGATTAACAACTCAATATGGCTGCCAGAGCTAACTGACCCTAGCAAAAACTTGTCTGCTAACTAATTAGATACAACTTGGTGTGGTAGTAGTTGAGAGTCATCCTCAACCTTTATGAGTGTTGACATTTATTTAAAACTTTGGCAGCCAAGGCCTACATACAGGCCTCTCATCCATTATGAAGGTTTTGACTTAAACATCTAATTGATAAAGAAGACAAACTAATATAAATTTACAAAATGTCTATAAATAAGCATAAGCTCACTATCTGGCAAGAAATGAGTCACAGTGTTCGCTTTATTTGGTAAGTTCACTGCTTATCTACACATGTTTACAATTTATTTGCTGAATTTATGAATTCTAAGGGTGGCTTTGTCATAAAGTAGCATCTTCATTATTTTTTGTCTCAACTAGAAGCTGAAATTTAAAAAAAAATTATAAAACGTTTGAATTTTTCTAGAATCAGATAATATTTATTGAAACGGTTTATCAGGTGCAAAGAACAAGAACCAGGATATTTATGTCTCTGGAAAATAAACAGAGATTAACTGGGAAATATCAGTTCACTTACACACACTGATCCCTTTTAGAGTAATTAATTTCTAAAGTGACATGGGAGTGGTGGTGCAGGGGTCAAAAGGTGGGCTTGTGAAAGGTCACCTGTTCGACTCCCCGGACCAACAACATCAAAATACTGGGTGGGAAAGATGAAGCACCCACCAGGGGTGATTCTAACTGGATAAATACAGGGTAAATGAAAAAAAAAAAAAAAAATATATATATATATATATATATATACACCAGAATGCAGGAAATGGCATCTACTTTAATCAAAATTTTCTTGGGGAAGACCCCCAGACCCCCCCCCCCCCCCCCCAACCAGTGTCTCACCCCCACCCCGCCACCCCATTGCAAATGCTTCTGATGCCAATGGCCACTGCGTTGTTCAAGAGCTATTGTCAGCACTGAGGGCTGAGTACCCCTAAAGGACAGGTAGTCTCATTGAGCCACGAGAACTCATTTTCAAGAGAGATCTGTGTTAGGGAGCATGATGGGGGTTAAGGACCTTGCTCAGGGGCCCAGAGTGGGGGAGAATGAGGGTGGAGGGAGGTGTGGGTGTTTCACCTTTTCCACCCACTTTTTTTTTTTTGATGTTGACGGTACCTGGAGGTGAATCTGCAACTTTCCGATCACAAGCCCATCTTCTAACCCCATCTTCTAACCCCATCTTCTAACCTCTTTTTGGGGATGCTCGAGCACCTCTAAATTTTATCAGCACCCCTGAAAAATTAAGAAACTATCTCTATGATTTTGTAAGGAAACTCAGCTCTCAACCCTAAGATTCACCAAAATATTGAAAAAAATTGGAATAAATATGAAATAAATGATGACAGTCTTAAATGGGCAAGTAAAATCTAAGACTTTTTTTGTTGTTGTTGCAGGAGTCGGATCCTTGACACCACCAGTTATTCTAGTAGGCTTGTCAGCAACTGACTGATCGATTATCTCAATTCGTCCCGAAGTGAAACGCCCCTCGAAAACATTGTCAGGGTTTTGAATTTCTTTGCAGTCAGAGAATTTGAGAAAAATCATTAGAAAAAAATGGTTAAACATCTGTAGACAACTTGTAATTCAGACAGCATTACCCTGATTGAGGCTAAAATCGCCACTGGCACCCACACTTGCCTCCACCCTCATTTGCCCCACTCCAGGCGCTTTAGCAAAGCCCTTAATTCCCACCATATGCTCCTCCAGGTACCCAAGATGGCAGCTCTCTCCTCCACACAGAGGGCTGTGGGAGCTCGGTGGTCTGTGGTTGTGTCAGGAAGGACATCCGGTGTAAAAACAATTGCAAAGTCTTGGTGCGACTTACTTCACTGTGGCGACCTCTGACAAAGGGAGCAGCCGCAAAAAAAAAAATCTTATAGTGATCTAAAAATAAAGGAATCGTGCTTATAATCACAATCTTTAATGCATGCCTTTAGATGATTTTGGGAATAAAAACAGATAAAATAACTGATGTTAGTCTATTGAGTGACATCTGAAAAAACAGAATATTAAAGTTATAAATTCACTTACAGTTTATAAGATCAAAGCAGTTTTTATGACACAAATATAAACTATATTTAATTAATAATTGCTCTAATTTCTGCTGATAATTTTCTATTTTTACTACAGGAAATATTCACAGCCCTGCTGGGAGTGGGGAACATCGGCAGGATGGCAGTTATTTTCTTCCTCACCCTAATCATAATCCTCATCTTGATTATCCGTACGTGAGCAGTGGATTATAGATTATGACTCCTCCACCATCCAGATTCATTTTGTGGTAATCTTGCAGTAAAATAGATTTTAATTACTGCCTTTCTCTCTAACACAGGAAGGACAGTTGTGTCGAGGATGCCACGGAGTCTCAGCATCTTCTCTGCTGAGAATATTTATGAAGTGGTTAAATGATGCTGTTTGTCAACAAAAACTTCTGGCTTCAAAATAGCTGTTTGTTGTGCTTAAACATTCCATCTCGTTGTCTTTTGAATGGTTACCAATTTAAAATCCTATAAATAAAACCTCCAAATGTCTCTTTTTTCTCACTAAAGCAAAAAGTTTCACATCAGAGGACACTGAGATGGACAACGATGGAAAATATTAAAATATCCTGCAGATTAATTAATCTGTTTATAGATTTTGTCAGTTTGACAAGAAAAGTTTGTGGATCATGACTGTGTTCAGACTGCCATCTGCTGGATTTACTGAAAATCACCTTCAGAATATGAAGAAAAGGTATATGGTGCGTGTGTGTGGGGGGGCGGGGGGGATGTTCTCATCCATCTATACAGAAAAAAGTAACAAAGTTAAAATAAATGTAATATGACTATGTCTTTACATGTTTTGACTACTTTATAATGAAATGTACTGACTTAAAGTGTTTTGTGACATGCAAGACCTACAAATAAAAAAAGTGGAAGAAAACATATCAACATTTAAGAAATTGGGCATATTACACATGATTTTATTCATTTTGTCCCATAACTGGCTTTTTAAAATTTTATTTGGCACAGCCAAAGTGAAACAGGAAGTGATGTCAAAGGGTAACTCTTTAAAAAGAGGAACTCCCTGGTTTTTGTTTAGTGAAACAGTATCTTTTGAACTGTGACTTTTCTTCGTCTCTTTCTGGTAGTGACTCAGAATAATCTAAAGAAACTTCAAATTCTTCTGTGTTTTTAGACATTGAAAAAGACGCTCTGTTTACTTGCAGGGGTTCTTCTTTGACATCACTTCTTGTTACTGAACATGTGAAAATCAAAACAAGAGTTCATCTCACTGGTATGAATTTGTTTTTTGCCAAATGTATATATTTCATAAATTCATAAATATTAATTTTGAATATTTGATGTCATAGGCACCTAAGGAGTCAAACTTATTGAGTTAATTTTTCCCTCGCTTCCTACTAATGCGTATTTATTTATTTTTTTTTATGTGGCTAACTAAAACAAAGCTTTAGTTTTCATTGTTAGATTTTGCTTTCCTCTGGATTGATTTGCTGTAATATGTTTTTGATGTAGTCAGATATAATAGTAAAGGAATAAACAACTGTTGATTCACGCCTGTTTGAGAAAAAACTGAATTTAAGCAGCACCAAAGATCTAATTTTGAGCTTTTTACAAGTTTGAAAGTTCATAAATCTTCAAAAGTAGAATGTAAGTTTTACAAACACTTGGGAGAAAAAAGCAGATTGAAAAAGAAGTTCTGAGTTGGTCTGCTCCACACACTGTGGACTCTTGAACTATACGCTTCAAAAAAACAAGACGATTTCTTATTAGTTTAGGAAGACCCGTCTTCCTCTGTAACACTGAAAAAAATGTGCATGTAAAAAGTGAAACTTGTATATTATATTCATTCATTACACACAGACTGAAATATTTCAAATGTTTATTTATTTTAATGTTGATTGTTATAATTGACAATTAATGAAAACCCCAAATTCAGTATTTCAGAAAATTAGAACTTAAAACCATTAAAAAAAAAGGATTTTTTAGAAATGTTGGCCAACTGAAAAGTATGAACAGGAAAAGTAAGAACATGAAAAGTATGAGCATGTGCAGCACTCAGTACTTAGTTGTTGCTCCTTTTGTCTGGATTACTGCAACAATGCAGCGTGGCATGGAGTCGATCAGTCTGTGGCACTGCTCAGGTGTTATGAGAGCCCAGGTTGCTCTAATAGTGGCCTTCAGCTCTTCTGAGTTGTTGGGTCTGGTGTATCACATCTTCCTCTTCACAATACCACATAGATTTTTTTATGGGGTTAAGATCAGGTGAATTTGCCTGACAGTTAAGAACAGGGATACCATGGTTCTTAAACCAGGTACAAGTAGCTTTGGCACTGTGTGCAGGTACCAAGTCCTGTTGGAAAATTAAATCTGCATCTATATAAAGTTGGTCAGCAGCAGGAAGCATGAAGTCTCTAAAACTTCCTGGTAGATGCTGCGTTGACCTTAGACCTCAGAAAACACTGGACCAACACCTGTAGATGGCATGGCCCCCCAAACCATCACTGACTGGAAACTTGACACTGGACCTCAATCAATGTGGATTCTGTGCCTCTCCTCTTTTCCTCCAGACTCTGGGACCTTGATTTCCAAAGGAAATGCAAAATTTACTTTCATCAGAGAACATAACTTTGGACCACTCAGCAGCAGTCCCAGGTGAGACGCTTCTGACACTGTCTCTTGTTCAAGAGTGGCTTGACACAAGGAATGCGACAGCTGAAACCCATGTCTTGCATATGTCTTTGCGTGGTGGTTCTTGAAGCACTGACTCCAGCTGCAGTCCACTCTTTGTGAATCCCCCCCACATTTTGGAATGGGTTTTGTTTCACCATCTTCTCCGGGGTGCGGTTAACCCTATTGCTTGTACACTTTTTTCTACCACATCGTTTCCTTCCCTTCACCTCTCTATTAATGTGCTTGGACACAGAACTCTATGAACAGCCAGCCTCTTTAGCAATGACCTTTTCTGTCTTGCCCTTCGTGTGCAAGGTATCAATGGTTGTGTTTTGGACATCTGTCAAGTCAGCAGTCTTCCCCATGATTGTGAGTGACCATTTAAAGGTCTTTGCAATAGTTTTTATTTTTATTTTTAATTTATTTAGCCTTTATTTATCCAGGTAGTCTCATATGGTGGGGGTTAAGGGCCTTGCTCATGGGCCCAGAGTGGGGCGAATGAGGGTGGGGGCAAGTGTGGGTGTTTCACCTACCCCACCCACAATTTTGATGTTGTCAGGGCCGGGGCGTGAACCGGTGAACTTCGGATCACAGGCCCACCTCTCTAACCTCTGCGCCACCACTCCCCCACAAGTTTTGAGTTAATTAGCTGATTAGAGTGACATCAGGTTCTTCAATATTGAACATTTTCACAATATTCTAATTTTCTGAGATACTGAAGTTGGGGTTTTCATTAGTTGTCAGTTATAATCATCAACAATGAAATAAACATTTGAAATATATCAGTCTGTGTGTAATGAATGAATATAATATAAAAGATTTACTTTTTGAATGGAATTACTGAAATAAATCAACTTTTTCATGATATTCTAATTTTATGACCAGCACCTGTATATGAAGGCATCATTGTGTAGATTAGGAGAGACCATGAAGGTTAATCTGAAGTCTGATTCCGTGTTGTTTATTGAGCGTCTTTAGATTTATTCAGAAAACCTGTGACAAGATCTAACAAAACAAGGTCAAGTCAGGACCGCTGGCCGGATTCTTCTTGTTTGCTGAAAGAAATTCTTTGTTGTTCTTTATTGTCCAGAGGACCTGACTTAACTTTGCTAGATTTTTCTACCTGAATTACTGAGCATGCGTCAGGACACTGTGACAAGATGCTAGTTTTGAGCAAAATACTTTTCCTCTTCATTAGTAACTGTTTGGATTGAGTGATCGGAGTGTTAACAGGTTAAGCACCCCCCCCCCCCCCCCAATGCTCAAACACATCTCAGCTGGTAAATTGGAGATTAAGTTTGTTTTTCAGTTTATTCAACAAAGAATCATTAAATACAATTGTATTGTTTTTTATAATCTTAAAGTAAAGCAAAGTTAAAAACTGGCTAGCTGTTAAAAACACACACACTTTCAGTAGCTACTTACATTAAGTTTTCATTATGAACTTGTTTGAAGGAAGTGATATTAAAGCTGTAATAAAATTCAGACCATTTTACTGAAATAATGTTTTGTTTCTTTTTATCGTCTACTTCCCTTTTCTCTGTGAAATTTTCTTATAAACATACAGTGTCATCTATTCTCCAGGTTGGGGATTTATTCTCTGCATTGGTTGCTCACTGTGTCAGCATATTTTTGAGGAAAGTGTTCTTGTTGACAGCTCGTGAAAAACGTGGGATTTCCTGAAGCATGCTCAATAATCCAGGCAGATATCTAACAAGGTTAAGTCAGGTCCTCTGGATGGATCGTCAGGAAGAATCCGTCCAGAGGACCTGACTTAACCTTGTTAGACTTACGGGATTTCCTTTTCTGCTCCATCTCTTCCTGTTTTCATAAAAATAAACTATTTGGAGGCTTGTTGATGACCAAGCAACCTGTCTAGGGTGTATTGCAGCTTTCACCCAATGATCCATGAGATAATTTCTCCATTTCGATCTTCTGCAGTTTATCTGTTGTCAGGTCAAAGAAGCAACAGGTCCAACAGAGAAACTCAGACATGCCTCTCCCCAGCTACTCTCTCCAACTCCTCCTGGGTAACCCCAAGGCCATCCAGAGAAGATAATGATCCCTCCAGTGAGTTCTGGGTCTGCCCCGGGGGACACTATGCACCTTTTCCACTGCTCCTACTCAGCTCTGCTCAGATCAGCCTGGATTTGCACCGTACTTCAGGACGGGTTCTGGAGGCGTGTCCAGAATCCAAAATCCTGCTAATGAACTTTTAATGAACTTTAGTTCACCGAGTGAGAGTTCTGCAATGAGTTTAACTCAAAGCAGTCTGCTCCTCAGATAAATAATGTTAAATTATTAATTTTATATATGAATATTTCTGTTCAGTGCCCTGAGACGACTTCTGTTGTGACTCGGCGCTGTATAATCTGAATTAAATCTGACGAAGCAGATCCTACAAAAACATTTACATTTAAAATTCCATATTTTTCTTCATCATTTGATGCATTTGCACTCATTGTGTCTACTTTTGTTGTTCAAAATTTTTTTATATGTGGTTTTGTTTCTTGTGTACAGATTTTATTTGAGTGATTTAAGTGATGATCAGTGATCAAT